CCGGGCTGGAGCGTCTCAAATACGTCACCGGGGCAACCAGTGATCACCGGGGGAGTGTCGTCCCTGGCTGTTTTTTTCGAGGGAAAAGGTTTTCTTTTTAAAGTGGCTTTACAATCTCAAAGTGGTCAAGTACTATACCACATGAGAAGCCAAAGTTTTGGAAGGAGCAATATTATGATTATTCAAAAAAAAATCCCTGGTACGCCAAAAGAAAAAGAAATTAGAAACCAACCCTTATTAACCAAGGCTCATCAACAAAACATACACATGTGTAAATGATCATTGTGTAACAAACGAAACAGCAACATCCTGCATAGTTAATAAATATTTTGCAATTATACTCAAAACAAGTTGACAGCATTGGAGATTAGTTGTAAATCTTTATCCTGAATTAATTCTTCACCCAATACCTGAGTAAAAATCACCCCCAAAACAATCACATGCGCACATTTTAGTGTCCCAACTTGTAACAAAGACCCGTGGTATTTCTTCTCTCGACGGACAACAGAGGGAATAAGATTAAGTCGTAGACTGGTGCCCATGTACCTTGCTGGATCTGAACAATGAATTCACAGGTTGCCCGGTTCCCACTACTGTCGGTGAAGTGATACGTGACTCTGGTTGGGCCGAGAGGGAAGCTCGACGACGGAGGGTGGCTACGAGCCACGCGAACCTCACCGCCATTGTCTCTGGCGATAGGTTCCTTCCAGGTAGCTGTTCCCTCGTTTTCACCAGGGCTCGCGAGGCCAAAGACACTGCGCGGACAACCGGTGATTTCAGGTGGTGTCCTGTCCACTTCTACCAATGTGTATTCAATAAACAGACATCGTTACAAAACGTACCCCACCTCTTTTGTGCAGTCTTTTTATTCACGCAAACCAGATCAAAGAGTAATGCAAGTACAACTGATCCAATTTTGAGAATAATTAAATTGTAGTGTCAAACGGTACAGAGGTTCTCGTTTCACTACATTGACAGTAAGATATCAATGACTTAAAGGATCCACACACCAAAAAAGAGGCTTAAGTCTTTTGACAGCCCAAAATAAGGCAACGATTGTACTTGTACCTCGGCGTATTTCAACGTCAAATACACAGGTTGCCCGGTTCCCACTCGTGTCGGTGAAGTAATATCTGACTCTAGTTGGACCCAACGAGAACCTTGTCGATGGAACGTGGGTGCGTGCCACGCGCACTGGCCCCGATTCGTCTGTTGCCGTGGGCTCGTCCCACGTTGCTATACCCTCGTTTTCACCGGGTTCCGCAAAGCCAACAACATTACGCGGACAACCGGTGATTACGGGTGGTGTCCTGTCTGCTTCTAAAATCAATAAACAGACTTTGCTTTAAAAAACTCATTTTTCCAGTACCTACATTTTCTGATTTCACTTATCCAATGGTTTGGACATTTGGGTTTTGAAACCTGAGAGAATACTTATTTCTGAAAAGGATAAAATGAAAATGAAAAGTTCAAGTATAAATCTACCTTGAAATACCACAAATAATGTGGGGGAAAAAAAAGTCATAAAAATATAAATGATACTAGACAGAAAAGCTTGAAGTAAGTAGGCACCCATCACCGTCTTTCTGATAAGTAAGGCACAGTAAGATGGTACCTCGCACGATCTCAACGTCAAATTCGCAGGTCGCCCGGTTCCGGCTCGTGTCGGTGAAGTAATAAGTGACTCTAGTCGGGCCTAGAGGGAATTTTGTCGAAGGAGCGTGGGTGCGGGCCACGCGTGGCGGCCCCGCATTGTCAGTTGCAGTCGGCTCGTCCCAAGTGGCCGTCCCCTCATTTTCGCCGAGGGGCGCAAAGCCTATCACCCTCTGCGGGCAACCAGTGATTTCAGGCGGTGTCCTGTCCTCTTCTGTGTTTGATTAAATAAACGCTTCAAGTATTGCGTGACGGCATAAATTTGCCAGAAAGGGGGGGGGGGGGAGAGTAATCGTCCTTTGGAAAAGACAACTTCAAACAGCCATCATCCCTTAAAACATGGCAATTATCATTTGGCGCATAAACCAATCTCTTCTCCATTCTTCAACATTTTGGGCAGAAATATACTTTTAAAAAGAACAAAAGTCATGTTGCAGCTTGGCACAGAATGCATGCTTAAAACTGCTCACCTCGAACAGAAAATTACCTAAGTTCCTAACTGATTTTTTTTTTAACATGGCTCGTAACACAGTGAAAAGAAATTTTGAATTGCCAATATCACCCTACCTTGGCTCATATTGACCACAAAAGTGCATTCAGCTTGGTTTCTGCTGGAATCTGTGAAAATGTACCGCACGGTCGTCCGCCCGACCGGGAACCCCGTTGAGGGCGCGTGCGTTCTCGCTACGCGCACCTGTTTGCCGTCGTTGTCCCTAGCCCGGGGCTCCCTCCACAACGCGATTCCTTCCGTCTCGCCGACTTCGATGGTCCCGCTGACCCCGATAGGGCAGCCGGTGACGACTGGCGGTGTCCTGTCGTCGACTGTACACCAAAAATCACCGTTTGAGAATGGAGAAAAGGCTCAGGTACCAATTGTACACACACATGTACGTAGATGAGCATGAAGTCAGTTACCATTGATGAACCAAAGCATATGACCAATGCTTGCCCAAGCGGAACCCAACTTGATATAAGCCGCGTGAATGCAGTATTCAGTCCGAATTTAAAAAGATGACTTTGGCTGAAAGACCATTACCAATAGCAACAGAAGCATAAGGAAAAGCACTCAAGGAATTGCATGATACACGTTACCATTGGAAGGACAGATCCCAAAAGCATAGACGAAGAAAGCATGATTGGAAAGCATAGAGAAAGCGGAAAAAACTCTAACAGAAATGTTGAGGCTCAATTTAACAGACTTGTGACAATCGCATGACGAAAAGTGGATGTCCAGAAATAGTCTGGTGCCACTTATTATACTGTCACAAACTAGACAGCAAAGAATATGGAATCTTTGGGAACTTGACAACAAAAATGAAGTTAACCCAAATATTGGATGACGACCTACATTGTACAAATCCTTCGGACTCTTTTGAGGAAGATGAAAATTTAGGAGAAAGTTGAAGAGGATAACGAAAAGTGCAATGTACATGTACCAAAGCACCACTGGCAGACAAAACAAACCAACACAATCCAGCGCTCCCACATGAATATTAATATAACATCAAAAACACCCAATGCCAAATATACAAATTTGAGATAAGAAATTTTAAAGGTACATTTGTATGCACGGTGGAGAATAGACGAATAAGGATTTTTACTGTAGCACCCATCTTTTTAGTGAGTTGCGCGAAAATCTCTGAAGAAGCTTTTAACTCGACGTTTCAAACAGACTGTCTTCAGTTTGTCTCAAGGAATCTGAATCCAAAGTAGAAGTGTGTTTGTGTACGAACACAAGCTGTTTCGTCTGTTTTTGAAATGGCTCTTTGACATGTGATGACAAAATGATTCATCATGATGTCACTAAATATCATGTATAACACTACCAATATAACACCAAGTACAACTGAACCGGACCTTTAGTTCTCTAGATACAGCCTCAGCAATATGCCTCTTTAATGTGAGGTCACATGACTGAAACAGCGAATTAAGAGTTGTAAAATCTGACATTCCCTGTGTGCACCTGGGTGGGTTAGGTCAGCCAAGACACCAACCCGTATGTGTACCCAATGTTACAGGCAATAAGTACTCATACAATGCCTTTGCGCAAATGTCAAAAACAACAATCTGTAGAAAGCACGGAAGAACGTCTCTATGTTGGATATGGACCATTTGCATGAACATAACACGTAGATGGCGCTTTTGAGAACCCCAGTGGGAGGGACATGCCGCATGCACATATTGGATACCTCGCGTTTGACGCGAAATACGCACAAATAATTTTATTTTGAATGTGCACAGGCCCACAGCGTCTTGGCGTGAGCGTCAGGTGTCATACTCATAGCAACTCTTTCGAATATAGCTCTTTCGCAGTGGTCTTCCAAAACTCTCCCTTTGTAACCGTTGAGGGGGTAGTTGTCCAGCAGTCCATGAGGTTGCAAGCCAGTAAATCGGTCCCAAATTGCCTACGCCGGCCAAATCACAATTTGCATGCCCTCAAATTCTTCGGTATTTGAGCATATTGTGGGCCATGAACTTGAGGGTTTGTAAAAGATAGGGGTGGAAGCTGTGCACAGGACTGTGAGCTTGTACTTCTGTGCAGTTTGGATGAAATTGGGGCCTAAAAGCGCTCTATTTTGCAATGGAGTGTAGGCATCGTTTTTCAAAATGGCGACGGGCTTCAGGACTACTTTAAGGGGTGATCATCTTCGGATGGAAATTTCTCCTAAAAGTCATCAGTTCACCCCGCGAAAATTGAAAAGAAAATGAAAGATGATGAAATAAGCCTTAATTTGATGTGTGTCTTGAACACTTTGGAGAGTTGTGAGTATTTTTCCTGGATTTCTGAAGTGGGAGCAGTTATCAATGGGGTGCATGGCAGTTTATTTACTGGTCTGCAACCATAAGTAAATCTTGAATTGTTTTTAGAAGATGAGTTTATAAAGAACAGCAAATGATGCACACACACCAACACCGCATTTCACCAAATTCTGTTACAGATTCACAACATAAGTTAGACACAATGATGGGTTTGACAGAAAATGAAACAGGACAAGAACACAGCAACATTACACAGTCACATTCCTAGTCAGAAATTTCACTGGACACTGGTTTTATACAGGCATGCAACTTGGAAGAAAAAAAAAAAACGAGGAAACTCTAATATTTACAAGACTTTGCACAGTGTTTTTTTTTTAATTTTTAATGGCATGAGTGTGAAGTGAAAAACGAGGAAATCAGCTGATCCGAGGAAACGTTGCATGCCTGTAATAGTGTTATACAAACGTACTGCAAATCAAAAGGCGTGATTAGACGTTAGTGAGTACAGCAATACTGTTAAGCAAGGCCACTCTGTCACCGATGACTCTGCAATGTTTCCCAAAATTCATTCCGGAAAAAAACGATACCTGGTTGAATGGAAACGATAAACGAACACTCGGCGCGGTTTCCACTTGTGTCAGTGAAATAGTACGTGACCCTGGAGCGGCCTATGGGGAAGCGAGTGTTCGGGGCGTGGGTCCGGGAGATTCTGACCGGCTCCCCGCTATCGTCGGACGCCGTCGGCTCGGTCCAGGTTGCGACTCCCTCGTTCTGGCCCGGCAAGGCAAAACCCCCGACACTGAAGGGGCAATCTACGACATCGGGCGGGGTAACATCTGCTCCTGTGAATATTATTATTATACTGAAAATTTGAAAAAGTGAACACTAACAAAAAATATAATAATTTAAAATGTGGTACACACTTCTGCAACTTTGTCCTCTTGCAGGATATTTTACTGGGAAATTGTACCAATTAATACATGCTCATACATGTAAATGTACGTGAACATACACCCTGGTAAAGGCAGAGTACATGTACCGATACATCAAGTGATATACTCCCTAGGCCTTTTTGCTAGGATGTAGCCTCAATCCTGCGAAATCCTCCAATTGGCCTCATTGAAAAATAGTATACATGTATATCTATAGCTTCAATCCTGCAAATTCCTCCATTATTTCTTGAATATGGTCCTTGGAGGGGTGGCCACTGCCTGAATCGTGCAAAACCCTGCGGCATTGACTGTCAATATATGCCGAGGCTTGGCCAGTGACATCCTGGAGCAGTACGAAGGATTTCAAGCATAATCCAGGCCTACGGTATATTTATGCATTGCTGAGCAAAAACAACACAAGGTCCGGCCCAAGACCTTGACAAAGAGCATCCTATGAAATCAGTAATGCACCTCAATCCTCCAAATTCCTCCACTTTGGCAAAGAGGATTTTGAAGGATTCAGGGGGGTTAGGGTTAAGGTTTTACACATACATGTAGATTCAGGTGCATGGATGGAAATTGTACACACAGTTGGAGGAAACTTTCAAATTTGCTTAATAATAAGCCAACTGTGAGACAGTTGCTAAGCATTAAATTTACACTACCAAAAACAGGGTACCAGACAAACATATCCCATAACGTACACTGCTTTGGACTGGTTGTAAACCGGTCTATGCCTCACAAGCAAACCTCGCTAAATTACCGGGTATACATGTAGTCCATAACTGCTTACTTACAGAACTCAACCCATCAAACCCCAACAGCATGTTTTGTTGGAATCTGTCGGGATGGGTACAGTACCCCTAAACTGACAGTCTTTTTGGTTGGCACACCTCCAGAAACTAAGTCAGAAATATGTGTGTGCAGTTTCCCATATGGTGTTTGCCAGGATGGGTATGGTTCCTAGTATCATCCTGGGGAGTTAGGGTTAAAGTTGTTGTTCTGACAAATTTTTGTTGTTAACTGAAATTGCAGATCACATCTGTATATCAAAGAAGTTAATGTATTTGAAAAATGTTGCATTTTCCCAGGCACGCACATGTGTGTAAGCATTAATACAAGTACATTATGCTAAGGGAAAAAAATTGACTCCAGGGCTGCAGTATGTCGCATAGTTCCAGATGTCTGAAGATGTTCTGTCTATTCATTTAAAACCCTCCCTCTCTGGCTGGCAAGTTTAACAAGGCCAGCCCAGCAGTCAAAATAAATCAAGTGACTGCTTTTAAACAGTTGAGTGCTCCCTGCCTTCATAAAGCAGGATTGACTGGCTGTGATTGTTGTGATACCTGATGTAGCTATGCTTTGACATTAGGAGATTGATAAGCCAGCTGTGCCTACCAGTCACCTGCTTTTGTCTATTGATGGAATTTGACTGCTACAGTGCCCACAGAAATACGATCTGACAGTTGGTGACTAGCCTATGCAAAAGGCATGGCAGGGGAACAGGAACGAATTTTTGACTGTCTGTGACTGATCAAACAAAAGGAGGGTTGATTAACGAATCAACACACTATGCCCCGCACAACCACAACAAAAATGTCTGTGACCAATCAAACAAACGGAGGGTCAATTACATGTAACGAATCAACACACTATGCTCCACACAACCACGACAACACCGATCTTATATCAAAAATGAAACATTTCCCCTCAGCATGAGAGAACACATTCTAGGACCCACATCATCATGATTACATCCAACATAGCCAAAGAAAAACAAAGGAAAAAGAAAAAAAGAAGAAAAAAATCTGAACAAAAACAAAAGGTGTTTCAGCTGGACTTCCATAACAGCTTGAAACGAAAAAAAGTCACTTTCCCCACAGTGGACGCAAGTGCCGCAGAGCATAATTAGAGCCGTGCGATTAGACCACATTCACAGCTGCAACCTACAGACCGAAATGTGAGCGCGAATGTCCCACCGTGAGGCTCTGGGGAGGCGGCTTCACAGAACCCAACATCTGTTGAGCCAAAAAAGAGAAACGAAACCGTGGACCAAGTCTGACAGGTCAAAATGATAACAAGCCTTATCGTCAACATTTCTTGCCTTTGGGTAGGGGTATGGCTAACACAGATGTTATCATCATTATTAGTGATTAGAAAATGTAGGGAGACAGTTGGTTTGGTAATTTCTTTCATTTCTGGAATTTGGAGAGAAAACACAAACAACAAGTATCGACAAAACTTCATGGATGCAAGAGTGAGTGGTGAAAACGCATTTCCAGGCACGAGCGTTACCAGGATTTTTTCTAGAGGGGGGCAAAACATATTTTTCCCAAAAAATTCTCAACATATTCTCCATTTATCAGTTTTAGAGGGGGGCAGGGACATTTTGCCCCCCCCCCCAACCCATTGAATTTACACCATTATGACTTCAGTCCTCTTTTTCTTTTCTTTTTTCTCTTTTTTTTTTCCTTTTTTTTTTTTTTTTCCTTTTCCGGGAGGGGGGGGGGGGCTCCCCCTCTCGTGACGCCCATGTTTCCAGGAAAGGCAAGTCAAATTTCTACTTTAAAGAACAAATATTCACTCTATAAATCATGTACCGGTATATGTGAATCAACTTTTATTCAAACACAGAGGTTTGAACATCCTTATTTGTAAAGATCAACAAAATAAGAGGGCCTAATGTTTTGATCCTTAGCAGGACCTTTCACACAGGCAAAATGACAGTGCTACAGAAACAGGCAAGTACAGGTAGGGTATACACAAGTATGGAGGGGTGGAAGGAAAAACACAAAAAAAGGGATTAAACAGCCCCATTAGGCTGTTGATTTATATATTTCAGGTAAATCCAGTCTTAGTTTTATCCTCTACACAAGGATAACCGACTCATCTGAGCGTATACACGTACAAAATGAACGGAACGGTTTGTCTACATGCGTGATATGCCGCGTCTGTGCAAAGAACAACGCATAGAACATGAAGAACAATGCGCGCCGACAGCTGGCGTCCTGACAGAAATTCGACCGCTGAAAGACTGCAGTGGCGCACCGAGTCTCGCGTCACTCGCACGCACGATGCCCAAGTGCCATATCGCGCCTCTAACCAGAAATGTGGGGAAGTCGTTTATCCTTGTGAAGAGGATGCGTAGTTTTAGGCAGCATTTTATTCATTTTTGTATTTGTAAAGCATAATACTACCGGTACGTACACGAAAACATGTACACGGACATCCTTGTAAGCATGTTTCTTAGATATCTTAAAGATTTTGTACATAAGTTTCAAAACCTTATATGTGACCTGTTCTGTCAAAAGCAGACGCTTCTGGGCAGAGGTTGAAATTGAGATAGGGCCAAAAACGCTGTGGGGGTAATTTTTATCGATTTTCAAATTTTTGCATATTTGTAATCCTGAACATGTCTAAAATATATTATAAAAGTTTGAAACCCTAATTTGAACTCTACATACATGCATACTATTTTTGATGATTTTGATAAGGTATATCAGTAAAAGAAATAACTGTTTTGGGACATTCGTGGCCATTTTCTCCGTTTTCTACTTTTCGACACAATGAACTTCAAAATAGCATAACTCTGCCCAGGAATGACCGGTTTCAAAAATTAAACCACCTATTGAAAGGAAAAAGAACATATGTTAACAATATGTAAAATAATCATTTTCGACCTTATGCCCAGAAAAGTCTGATTTTGACAGAACTGGTCACATATTTCTTCCATGCTGGATAATAATGAACACAAAAATGCTCTTTGATTGTGAACACAAAAATGCTCCTTGATTGATGTGCGATACCGTGCAGCGGTCCCATACGTCGATTGAAGAATCTTGACGCATGCGAATGTATTCATGTGATGTACTCCCCGCAACCCCACAAATCTCCTTGTCATGTGAAAAATGTAGAGTATCGGGCAAAGGGCCAGAGACAGAGTAAAACAATCCATGGGAGATGTGCTGACTGGAAGTCATTGCATGAAAACAATGTCAAAGTTAAACAAATTATGGGCGAGACCGCTAGACGTACCGGTACATATTTTCCTTCAGGCAAAGGCACAATGTGTCACTCTGAATAAAATATTTTGTACACAGTCTGTTTTGTGTAATTGTTTTAATTACCCCTAATTCTTGGGTCAAAAAATATTAAGATTTCACAGGTAAATAACATGTGCAAGACCTCCAAGCCATTGATAGAGAGCAACCATGGAAGGTCCTTAAATTCTGACAAAATGTCCTTAGTAAATTTATATAATTTGGTTTAATTGTCAAATTAAGCACAGCAAATTAACGACAGCTAAGTTAATTATGAATAAAACATTACACAAGTTAGTTTACAAATTATTTTAGTCTGAAAGTTTTTGTCTCAATTTTAATGACAAAAATTTCAGACTTCAAATTTGAGCCTAGAAATTTGTCTGATGTAAGGGCCATTTAGCTCTCAACCGACAAATAGAAAGAAACTCTACTTCTTGCATCATTGTATTAAAAGAATGGAATATAGATTTTAGAATATTGAAGGTGCATCGATGCACATACTGTTAAAATGAAGCAAAGAAGAAATCAATTTGAGGGAAACTTTCAAAGCATTTCAACTTGACTCAGTCAAATTTTTATTTGATTTTATTTAACTGCCAAATATCTTATACAGGGGCAAACAGTCCCTGTGTGTAACCTTTTTTCCAACATTTAACAACTATTTTTCAACATCCCACCTTGTAAGTTTGTGACTTGGTAAACAAAGAGAGGATATTATACATGGATGGCTCAGCTGTTTTGGGCGAAATCTGAGGGATATTTACAGAAAAGTTGAGACCAGACAGAAGGGGGATAAAATAAATAAAAGGCCACCCTGCAGGCAACCAGCTTTCACCGACGTCATAAATTGTCACCTTTTTATTCCTC